TTTTTTTTGCATATTGTTGAATGAGACTGTAAAATATTTGGCATTAATCGGAAGTGCTCATAACCCTTATCACGTTTCTAAAACCCTGTCGGATCCGGAGAGAAAACGAGTTTTGAAAACTGAGTATTGTGGTTATATTTAGAGGCAGACGAACACAATGTACCACATAACATTCTAACGCAGAACCTTAAAACCACAGGATACATATCACATGTCGTATAACACTGTACCGAAACAGGATAACTTGAAAGGAAACAATCAAATTCATTTCAGTAACCTCAGAAGTGCTTAAAAGATTTTAACAAAACGAAAATCTTTTAAACTTTTAAAAAACTGCAGTATTTTTCAAATCTTTAATAAATACTTTTTATGGTTCAGAAATAAACCGAGAAAAGAAATACTTCTGTACGTTTTAATTATTTTTTTTTTTTTTTTATAATAAGAACATTGAATTCTGGAGGGAGACTCAACTCTTTATCTTCCAATAGCACTGTATATTCGTTCACTAAACATGGCGCACAAACACTCGAGACAGTCCATTCGGTGCTCGCACGCTCTTTCCAGCTGTGGTTGTGACCGTGTTATCACGATCCGTGGACACAAGCGTGAGACGTGGACGTGCCTGGACGGAGTTCACTCTTACTGGTCTCATTCCTCGGTACCATAGCCGAGTAACGCTGCCCCTGTAGTCTTCGTTAAAGGCGATGAACACTAGAGGATTGACAAAGTTGGGTAGGAAGAGTAGGCAGTACCCCACAAAATCCTGTGTATATGTGATAGTAGCTCTGTCGGTGTCCAGGCTCAGTGCAGACAACACGGAATAGGGAGCCCAACACAGACATATGGTGCCTGGAACACAAGACAGAATGGTAAAGGATGGGATGTCTGGAGCAGGAAGGAAGATGCTACAAGGTGGATGACATCTGCAACGGGGTTTAGGGGGTTAGGTTTGATCTGGAACAGACAGGGAGCATGATGGAAAGACATAATAATTTTAGACCGATTTAGCAATTAGGACGGGGATGGTTATCTTTCAGATATGACAAGGTGGCAATCTAGGGTCACCTAGAACCCCAAGGACGGGGTGGCACGGTGAGAATATCCTGAACATATTGGACAGAGTGGTAAGTGTTCGTAATGGTTTCCTTGAACTTACAGGAGCGATTGGTTTATTAGGGATCGCATGAAGATGTAGTAAGAATACTGATCGAACTTCGGGGGATTGGACTACAGAACAGGGTTGATTAAAAGGAGATACGGCTACGGGATGGGGTGGCAACAAGGTAACAATCTATGACGACGGGCTACAGTGCGGGCTGGTTACCTATTTACATGGGGATTGGACTAAAGGTCGGAGTTGGCTTCAAAGGGAATGGCTACAGGACGGGATGGGGGTTCAGGAAAGGGAAGCAATTATGGGAAAATGGGCTACAGGATGGATTGGTTACAAAGGGAATTGGGTTACAGGACGGGGAAGTCTTCTGGACCGATGGGGCTTCATGAAGGAAAATTAACATGCTTATAAAGTGGATATAACATCTCTTATTTAATACAGTCTAAATGGTGGTTAACATTCATATTTTAATATACAGCAGTTGACCTGTTTTTAAACATAAACATTTTTTGATAATGCTATTTACGATAGAACATGTAGATTTGTATCGACAATGGCCTTTAATATGTACCGTATTAACCTTTAGCGATGCTGACTCTGGTTTGAATATATATATCTTACCTATATTGATGATAACTATTTTGAATGTCTTGAGACAGGAAGCAACTGATCTTGTTCTGTTCACCAGTCGCCGTCGAGGGGGAGGAGTGTGGCCACGTATTGTTCGTATGTCATCATTGCCCCTATGACAAGGGTCAATTAACGACCGCGCCAACAACGCGATCTTCAAGTAACAAAATATAAGAAGGCAGAGCGGTACCATAACAGTCAGACACCACGTTGTGTAGGAAAACGCCCTTGAGGTAATCCACGTGATTCCGCAGATCTGAAGACTTCTCGGCTGGAAACAGATGCTGATACCTCCCCACCCAAAACAAGGCGGGACAGAAAACATGATCCCGATACACCAGGTTGACATGACCATTGCAAGGCTCTTGCGGAAGTCCATAGTTAGCGAGTGTGTGAATGGCCGGAAGATGGTGAGGAATCTGTCCATACCAATCAGAGCTAGTGTCCAGTTAGTGGATATGGACGTCACCATGACAACTATCGGAGACGAGCGACATACGATGTCGGCTAGGACGAGGTGAGAGTAGACGATGGAATAGCACAGTATAGGTATGGGGTACACGGACGATAGGAGGTAGGCAGTCGACAGACTCAGGATGCATGCCTTCATCGATGTCGTCATCGATTTCGTCCTATGGACGACGTAGATCAGCAGGGCGCATGACGTCATACTCAGTATGATGATACACACAAGGAAAACTATCTGGATTCCCACTAATGTCGGTCTGACACATACCTCGGAGTGCGGGTAACAGTAGATGTCACGGGGATAGTCCTCCATGTCACATTTATTACTTCCGTTCATCGTCCCAAATATTCCATACAAATAGATCGGAAAGTATTCAGGGTTTCCGGTTGTTAACAGATCCCTTTATATTTGGTACAACATTTCACTATTTTGTCACATGCTTGGAATGATTAACTCTCAGTGACCATTTTGTCTATACCAATGACTGGCCGATGACTATTCCGTCTTAACTGTTGACAGAACCAGTGACAAGCCGGTGACCATCTCATCCAACACTGAATTGTCGGATGAAATCCTGACATTCAGATCAAGCCAATTTATTACAAAGTCTGCTATTGATAAATAATGCATATATTTTCATATTTAATGTATTAGATATATGTATCGTTGTCTTAATGGCGTTGAGAGTTATAGAGGGATTGCTGTACGTAACGCCGAGTTCCCAGTGGAACTACTGGTACAATGCAGACGACAGTGGTCATATACATCAATCTACAGGTGTAACACAACCAGTAGACGTTGTCTAGCTAAGTGATTGTCTTTTTACCGTTGAAATCAATTTATACATTACATTTCGTTTCATATATATTGATAAAGAGCATCTAAATAAAACAAAATATTACAAAATGTATTATTTTAATTTATCGTTTTTCATGACACGGATACACTTGTTTATATGTGTAGATGCTGCTTGCATTTTTTAAAACTTTTCTTCTCATTATTTTAATGAGTATTGTTTGTCATCGTTAAGAGAGCAATCGTAATTACGTGTATAAATTGTTTAAACTAATTTTCATGTAACTTACATGTATACGACGTCCTTACTTTTTGTTTTGTGCTTGGTTTTTAGGTTATACGACATCGCCTGAAAAAGTCTAGCATTGAGAGGATAGCAAAATTAATATAATACGGGTATAAGCATTCATTTGAACTTGGCGACCATGGAAGTTATCTTTGTAACTTTAACAACTCAAAATTCGATAAAATCGGCCTAGATGATTTGTCACGGGAGATCGAGAAATCGAGGCCCGGGTAGGGTACAGGTGAGTAAAAAACTGTCTTTCTCCGTAAGAGTCTTTCAGAAAATATTTTATGCAAAGTACATGTAAAATAGATTTTAGAAATCTGTCCAAAATCTGTCCAAAATCTAAAATTGTAAAAAAATCCTAATTTGTTTTAGGTATTTAAGTCTATAGAGTTTCGAAAAAATACTGACAACTAACACTTTTGAGGTGTTATATCAAAGCTGAGTGAATATACAATGAATATAAGTACTCGTCTTTTAATGATTCACCTTATATTACCCCTTCAGCTGAGAAACAGATAGATGCGGTGCCCGTAAGAGAATGGAAATTATTTAAGGAACCCCCAGTGAGTCACGTGTACCTCCGTGAGTCACGTGACCAGATAGGATACCCATGTAGATTGTTATTGCCAGCAGCAGTAGCAGCTGGTTGACCTCGCACGACAAATGTCTGGGCTCATTTCTGTGGAAAGGAGTCCAAACCTGGATCAGAAATTACTCAAACAATGGTCGAATAATGCATCGGCGTCCCAAAGAACCGCTGCCACGGTAAGTCGTGTGTAAACTTTCTCTGAGTGAAAACAAAGATTGTTTGTGTACTTCCGGTTTTACATAAAACTCCCTAATTATCTATATGAGGGTAACACGAAAGTACACACATATCGATACCCCATTGTAAGGTATACCTGTTGTGGTCTAAAGGTCAGTGTACACGGCCAGCTAACACGTAGGGGGATTGCTCATTTATGTTTACCAGGCCCACACGTGTGTGATGAGGGGAACAGCACAAGGAGGGGGGTGAACGATAACAGCATTTGTAACTGTGGACACTGTATACAGTGCATACGCGTACATTGTACTTAGGCACCTCGACTGGGGAGAACTGTGTACGTGTAGTTGAAAGCCGTTTCTGAAGAATCACAACTATTTAATTTCGAAGGGATTTGTGTATACGACTGTTCGAGGATACATATTTATATATATATACATACGACTGGTAGGTGTTGGGACATCTACTTACATATTGTACGTGAACACACGAGAGTAAGAAATGTCAACGAGAGGAGATTGAAATATATTGACTGAGATGTATTCAATCAGTACTTATGAAATCATTGAATCCCGTTACATATCATGGTAGTGTAATGTTTTGTAGCACCATTATATAATCTACGGTACCTTACATGAATAACAACACACACTGTGACGTAAATATTACACCATGTCATTAATTCACGGCAATATTAAAGACAAACATCGTGACGCTTCTCTTTTCTAACTCTTGCAATGTGTACTGTATGAACAGAATCTTTTAAAACACGTTTCCATATCGCACGTGCATGAAACTCGCCAAAGATCTTTTCAGCATACAATTTCACATTTAATGTTATCTTGTTTAGGTTTTCATGGGATGTCCCGACTTTATGACTTCCGTTATTGAAAGAAAGCTTTCAGTTGCTATGATGTACAACCAGAATACACTGTAGACAACTTCTTACATGTGTATGACTTCATTGTTGATATGAAGTGTCACATTAATACATACGAGTGTTAAATGATGACATTGCTGGTTATCAGGTAAATGAAGCGTCTATTTATAAGTGTTCAACTCTTTTAGGATCATGTGCGATTTAGGGAAGTAAGATAAAATATGTATGGATAATTCAACCTGCAAATTATAATAATACATTATGTATTTTGAAAGCATAAATGAGTACTAATTAAATATTTGTATTTTTCAGAATAAAATGACACTTTGGCCACAGCGATCGCCACCTGTTTCCCGCCTGTTGTTGCGAGCCGGTGTAGTGATAAGCGGAGTTGCCTTTTTTTTCTTGTGTCTGACGTCATTGCGTGTTTCACAGAGTCAGGATACACAGCTCAAAAAGATTCATACCGTACTCCACCGACCCGTGTCGCAGGCATGTGTTGGCGGAAAATGCTTCTCACAAACCTCGATGGACGAACAATATGCACAATATTTTATTCCTAGAAAAGAAAAAGTGAATCCTTTTCCGTTAAAATATGTAGTTCCAGGTTCATCGATATGTTTAAAGGGAGCCCCCGTATACTTGGTCATTCTCGTGCCATCTATACAAACACACGTGGAAGAACGTCGTGCAATACGTAATTCATGGGGAAGTGTTGCCAGGGGAAACCACTGGCCCCGGCATCATGTCAACACAACCGTAAAACTAGTGTTTTTATTTGGTAAGGATCCTGCCATGAAAAATAACAGAGTTGCACAGTTAGAGAGCGAGATGTACGGTGATGTCGTGCAGGGAGATTATGTAGATACGTATGCAAACTTGACACGGAAGATGCTGATGGGTCTTAACTGGGTATCGAGTTATTGTACCGACGCTGAATACGTACTGAAGGCGGACGAGGATACCTTCGTACACATCCCTAAACTCGTGAGCGTCCTGGCTAGAACGCGACACCCTGCCTACCGGGGAGTTGTACTAGGACACGTGAATGTGGGCGGCATTGTAAAACGTGTAGGGAGGTGGAAGGTGGAACAAGAAGATTACCCGTTTCCACATTACCCTCCATACGTTTCCGGTAACACATACGTCATTTCCTCTAACATCGCAGCGTCCTTATTCAGGGCGTCAGAATACTTCCCGTACATCCCCATTGAAGATGCCTACATCACGGGTATTTTAGCTAAGGCGGTCACTGCGGAGGTTATTGACGTGCCAGGGTTCACGTTCTACCTAGACAGACCGCCTCATGCCTGTAATTACCTACAGGACAGTCGAATCTCCTCCACAAAAGTCAGCTCTCACTTGAAGATCTATATATGGGAAAAACTCCTGTCGAATTCGCTCAATTGTAAGAGAAAACTATACACAGAAAATGAGGAGACACAGTAAACGAGGAAACAGATAGGATGCAATCACTGACAGTGAACATTAAGATGAGAAGACAAGTGATGATAGTGAGAAGATTTTATGATATGATGGTGACGCAATACGACAGAGTGAAGACGTTATAGAAGTGAGGAGACACGATATGGTAGTGAGGTGATAGTATGTTTTGGTAGTGAGGAGAAACGTTATGATAGTGTGGAGACACGTTATGGTTGTGAGGTGACAAGTTATGGTAGTGATGTGACACGATATGGTAGTGAGATGATAGTACGTTATGGTATTGTGGTGGCACGTTATGATAGTGTGGAGACACGTTATGGTTGTGAGGTGACACGTTATTGTAG